GCTTCCCTCCCCGGAGGGAAGTGGCTGCTCAGCTCCGTTGTCTGTTTTAATTCCATTTTAGGCAGCCGACAAAGGAAGCAGGAAGAGATACGAGCCAGCAGACAAAGACAGGCCGACCTCTCCTCCAGCCAAACGGGCCAACCTGTCACCTGACAGAGGTGAGACATCAGCCGTCGCAGGGACTCCTGGCCCGGCCGGGTTCCTGCTCTGCCGCTCGAGGCAGTGCTGGAGCGACAAATGTCCCGTGAAAGTCCCTGCTGCAGGAGTCCACTCGCTGGAGAGGTTAATTGCGGGCTTGTGTCCTGCCAAAACCTCCGACTGCGCGATTGCCACCAGATAACGTGGGCGTATTAGCCGTCCTGCTGCAAAAACACGGTGGAGGTGAGACACTCTGGCTTGTGAAGTAAGCAAGGTGAGGTCAGCCCTGGGCAGGCCAAACCCGGCCTTGCCTAGCTGTCTTGTGGTGCACGTTGCGAGTGCCTTGGCTCCACTATGTCTGTGTAAGTCCACTGCAAAAAAAGAAAACAAGCAAGCCCTGGCTTTGGGGACGCAAGCGTGCTCGTCTCCGCTGTAGGCACGCGTCCATCCCGCAGCGGCCTCCCGTTCTCCGGCAGCGTCGTTGGACGTGGCGGTGGAAGTCGTAGGCTTTTCCCTTACTGTGTCCCGGGGTCTGCTCTGCCTCGTGTTTCAGCATATCGCGACGGATCGTAGTCCTCGCGATAGCAAGGCTTGTGGCGGTGCTTGGAAAGGGAGCTCCGGGATGGATGCGCTAATTGGCTGCGTCACCCGTCCTGCGAAAGGAGGCTGTTTCCCCACCCGTGTGACACAATCCCATCTGCCCCGTGTGTTTAGGAAGGCGTGGGCTTTCCAAGTCTTCTCCCGTGTCCGAATCCGCAGCGGCAGCGTGAGCACCTCGGAAAAGCGAGCTCCCGCGCGGCGTCGAGGGGGGCCCGGGTGCCACCCTCCAGCGAACGGGGGGAGTCGTCAGGCAGAGGTGCCTGGTTTTGACGTACGAGCCGGCAGCGACACGTGACGTTGTTTTCCCTGGTGTCTCGGCTGTAGGTGGATCTTGTTGACTCTGGGTGCCAGCCAGAAAAAAAAAAATTCTGTGCTAATAGCATGGTTGCATTCGACTCGTGCGAAGGCAGCGTGGAAGGGACTGGGTGAGGTTGAAGTTCACTGGGATCTAGTTCACAACCGCTGCTGAGCTGCAGGCGAATGAATGGGCCAACCTGGCACACCGTGCTGAGTTTATAGCTCCCTAGATGTAGATGGACTGAATTTGTCTGTACATTAGAAAGCACTTTTAAGTGGTAGCAAATGGGACGTGAGCCCAAAGGCAACTCAGCCTCACCTCCCGGTGGCAAGTGTGCCCTTGGCTGAATTGGGACTGAGCAAGAGGCACCCTCCAGTGTCCCAGCCCAAAGCTGGTCGGCGTTCGTGCCCCGCGTCTCGCTGCCCTGTTCTGTAACCTGGCTGTGATCAGATCTGCAGCCTTGGCTTTCTCCTGGCGTCAGTCCTCAGGAGCGGAGCGCTGCCCCAAGGCAGCTGCTGCTGCGAGGAGCTGAGCACCTTTTGCTCTCAGCAGCCACCAGCATCACCGTCCTGGTGTGGAATAGCAGGGTGTGCTGCTTGGCTCGTCCCCAGGGCTCACAGAGGTGGCCTTCCAGCTACAGCCACCTCTCCGTGCGCTGGGATAGCGGTGGTTGGGACCCCCGCTACAGCGAAGCTGGGAAATGCCGCTGCAGGACCCCAGCGGGCTTCCCACCACCTGCAAGTCCCCACAGCCTCTCCGTTCGGGGAGGGCACAATGGTTCAGTCCGTGCCGAACGA